GAAAAGTTGAAGACTTTAAGAATGAAAACTCAGGCATTGGGGTCCAGGTTTGGATTCCCAGCACTTGGGAGTTTGCAGCAAGAGGATCATGAGTTCAGGACCACCCTGGACTACCTTAGCAAGACTACCAAATAGATAAGGAAGTAAGTAAACGAATAAATCAAACTTAAAAAGAAGCATTAACAGAAATAAAGATAACATCTCCCAAAATTCAAAATTCTCCTGGTAGAAACAACCACTGTTCACATTCTGTTATTTGTTAATTTGAGACAAAGCCTCACTGTGCAGCCCAGGTTAGCATGTAACCCTGGATTCTTCTCGCCCCAGGTACTGGGGTGGATGACTATGCCACCAAGCCTGCTAACCTCTAATTTACGATCTTCCTGCCTCTGCTTTGGAATTTATGTGCTCTCGGAGATCAAATCCAGGGCTTTTCCCAGACTACAGATACATGTTCACAGACACATTCTGATGTCTCTGGAACTGTTTTCTGTGATGCCACATATAAATGCATATGTTTTGGGTACATATACATTTTAGACTTTATAAAAACAGGACCTCCAAAGCTACAGGGAAACCCTGTATCGAAAAACCAAAATAAATAAATAAATAAATAAATAATAAAATAAAATAAAATAAAAAGGGACCATATCATATGCATAATTTGTGAAAGTTATTCTGTATCAATAAATATAAGTCCTTGCCACAAGGATGTCATAGTATGGAAATAGCATTATTTTGCCAGGCAGGCATGCTCTGGCAGGTTTGGACTTAGCTGTGTTCTGGGTGGGTGATGCAGGAGGATCGAAAGTTTAAGACCTGCCTGGGCAACTGTGCTCCTTACTTTTATGTCAGCTTGACTGACACAAGCTAAAGTCATTTTAGAGGGAACCTCAATTAAGAAAATGCTTCCATAAGATTGGGCTATAGGCTCTGGGCAGTGGTGATGCACACCTCTAATCCCAGCACTCGGGAGGCAGAGGCAGGCGGATCTCTATGAGTCTGAGGCCAGCCTGGTCTACAAGAGCTAGTTCCAGGACAGGCTCCAAAGCTACAGAGAAACCCTGTCTTAAAACTTTTTTTTTTTAATTTATTTATTTATTAAGGATTTCTGCCTCCTCCCCGCCACCGCCTCCCATTTCCCTCCCCCTCCCCCCATCAAGTCCCCCTCCCTCATCAGCTCGAAGAGCAATCAGGGTTCCCTGACTTGTGGGAAGTCCAAGGACTGCCCACCTCCATCCAGTTAAACCAAAACAAGCTGGGCGGTGGTGGCACACGCCTTTAATCCCAGCACTCGGGAGGTACAGGCAGGCGAATCTCTGTGAGTTCGAGGCCAGCCTGGTCTAGAAGGGCTAGTTCTAGGACAGGAACCAAAAGCTATGGAGAAACACTGTCTCGAAAATCAAAATAAATAAATAAATAAATAAATACAAACCAAAAACAAAACAAAGCAAAAAAGGGGGGGGGGGCGCTACAGGCAAGCCTGTAGGGCATTTTCTTAATTAGTGGTTGACTGGGAGAGCCCAGCCCATTGTGGGTGGTCTTTCTCTGAGCAGGAGTTCTGTAAGAAAGCAGGTTGGGCAAGCTGGGAAGACCAAGCCAGTAAACAGCACTCCTCTGGGGCCTCTGCCTCAGCTCCCGCCTGAGGCTCTTGCCTCCTGTGAGGTCGGTTGCAGCTGTAGAAACCCTGACTAAGACAGCAACTTTGAGAGACCCTGTAAAGTGTGGGTTTGAGGACAGAGTTCAGTGCTAGAGTGTTGCTTATCACGTGAGAGGCTAAGGAAGAAAAAAAGGTAACAACATGGGCCTATTGAGGTTTGGCGCTATGGATTGAATTCCAGGGCACGCTAAGTACATGCTCTCCCACCTAACTGCACCACCAGCCCCAGGCTGCTATCTCACCCCTCCTTTGTGTTAGGACTAAGGCATTTTCAGTTTGTACCCCGGACCAGCAACAGTTAGATACTCTCACGCATATATAGTTATATACGTGTCCAGTTGTTGCCTGGAAGTGGACTCTCAGTGGGTACTGCAGTTTTCCCTTTAACATTGCACAGTGAAAAAAAGTTACCTCAGGCTTAAGGAGGTATAATTTATATGCCGTAAAAATCACTCTTTTTTTGAGTACACGTCCGTGAGTTTTGACAAATCCATTGGGCAACTACCCCATAATCAAGATAGAGAACAGGCTTGTCACCACCGCCCCCGCAATAAGTCCCCTGTGCCCTTTGTGGCTAACTCCTCTTCCCACACGCATCCCTTGGTAACGACTGCTTTCTGACCCGGTAATTTTGGCTTTCTCAGCACATCTTATGGATCAAATTATACATCCTTTGGATGTGGCTTCTTATACTTAGTGTTCATTCATGTTGCTGGGCACCGGGAATTTGCTCTACTTTATCACTGAATGACTGACTATCAGGTCTGCCATCCCCACCCGCTGTGTATGAGAGCTTTCGTGGCTCATTCTTTTTTTTTTTTTAATAAAAAATAATCTCCCAGGGCTCCTTCTTGCCGGCAGGTTGAAGGCATTGTCTGCACCCGTCCACCCTTTCTTCTCCTCCACCTCTTCTTCTTCTTGAGGCAGGGTCTATGCAACCCTGGCTGGCCTGGAACTGTGCAGGCCAGGCCGACCTCAAGGTCACAGAGCTGCCTCTGCTTTCTCTTCTGTCTCTTGTTCAACTCCCACATACCACTCCTTTTGTTTCCCTTCCTGTTCCTTTAGTAGACAACTCCTTCCTCCCTGTCCCTCTCCTCCCTCAATCATGTTTTTCTCTCCTTTAAGGCATGTCCTCTTGGGCTGCTACCCTCCCCCATGCTCAGCTCTCGGTGGGATCAGAATTCAAAATTCAGGATATAGTCCCAGGTTGGTGCCAAAATGTGTTCTCTCTCTCTCTCTCTCTCTCTCTTTTCTTTCTCTCTCTCTCTCTCTCTCTCTCTCTCTCTCTCTTTTTTTTGTGAGATACGGGCTCCCTCTAGCTTTGGCAGCTTTGGCTGACTTGGAAGTCCCTATGTAACCAGACTAGCCTTAAACTCATAAAGCCCTGCCTTCCCCTGCCTCCGGAGTGCTGGGATTAAAGGTGTGCGCCACCAGGCCGCCACTCTTCCCTTGCTGTGTATTTTGGTTGTTTTCTTAGTCGGCTTCCTTTAGCATTGTTGGCATTGAAATCTAACTAACTTTGGATGTCCTTAGAGGCGAGGTGACATTTTACCACTTATGCTATTTGTTATTAAAAGTCAGCCTATTTGTCTGTTCCTGTGCCTGGGTGGGGGTAAGGGCGGAGTGGTGAAGAGTCTGCTGGAGACCCAAAGGTCTCTCGGCCGGGAAACTGAAACTGGGAGATGCACGCTAATTCACTCACTTGCCCACGTCATCCGGGTTTTAAAGAAATATGGCAGAATATAACCAGAACTAAGAACAGTTGAGAACTTTAAGAAAAAAAATAGCCAGGTAGTGGTGGCTCAAGCCTTTAAACCCAGCACTCTGGAGGCAGAGGCAGGCGGATCTCTGTGAGTGAGTTCCAAGACAGCCAGGGCTACACAGAAAAACCCTATCTGGAATCCCCGTCCCCAAGAAGAGAAAAATAATCTTTTCAAGGGAGAAAGGATGTATTTTGGGTCACAGTTCTAGGCTCACTAGGCACAGGACATAATGGCAGGAACTGGAAGGAGCTGATCACATCATCCCAGGCAGGAAGCAGAGAAAAAGTAATCTTAAAAAAATAACCCTTAACCCACTCATTCCCGTCCTCCCTCCCCGGAGACAGGGTTTCTTTTGTAGGCTTGACTGTGTAGATCAGGCTGACCACCAACTCACTGAGATCTGCCAGCCCAAATCCCTTCCCCCTCTCCCGCTAGAATTAAAGGCATCGCGACGGCCAGGCACCCACTCATATTTTACTTAAGTCTTTAGTTTTTGCTTTGAGCCAGAGGCTGGCCTGGAACTCATGTATACCAGACAGACCTTCCTCTCCCTTCAGAGGTCTGTGGTTAAAGACATGGACTATTATGCTGGATCTTACAGAGACATTAACTAGAATTATTTAAAAATGTATTTGAGTGTTTTGCCTGAATGTTTGTACACACACATCTGTGCCTGGAGCCTGTGGAGGTCAAGAGGCTTTTGAATTCCCTGGAACTGTCGTTATGGACGATTGTGCGCTATCATGAAGGTACGGAACCAGGGTTCTCTGCAAGAGGACATCGTCTCTCTAGCCCCTCTCTTTATAAGAACGTTTTAAGTACAAGATTTCTGTAGGCAGCTTACAAAGGGAAGTTGGAAAGAGAGGTCTTGCTGTGGGTTTTCTGGGAATCGTGTTTTCTTTCGGCCCGTGTTGCTTTTCCTCAACTTTTTGCCAGCGACAAATGACCTCGGTATCAACTCCTCCAGGGCAGTTTTATTTAAAGGTTTCTGAGTCAACGTGCTAAACTCAACTGATTTCAGAGTCGCTCCGCCTTTTAGAGTGGAAGTTAAAATACCTCCTTTATCACGCTCTGGTTGTACAGCACGCAGGGGCGGTTGGAGACGGGGAGGTGTCCCTAGCTCACACCGCAGCGACACAGTCAAGCTTGTGATTTGGGACCACCACAAGCTCTGGAGTGCGGTGTGTTGAGCGACCCCCTTACAACCTGGGGGCGCCGGCGACGCCTTTTCCCTTCCCTTAGCCCTGAAGCCAGAAAACCCCCAAACAAACAAAAACAAACCCAACAGACACCCAAACCGTTCCACCACCGAGGGAAAGCGCGCCAATCACACAAAGAAAAGGAGGGGGGCGACTGGGATTCAAAATCATTTCTCCGGGACGTACATCCTCCCGGGCCTATCGGAATTAACTGCGCGCTTGCTCAGAGCCAATAGACGCCGAGTTTCTGGTCCAGGGCCCCCCCAAAGACAGACGGGCAGTCCTCTAGCCCAATGGGGCCGCGCGACGCTGAAGCCTCGGCCAATGCCGTCGGGAGGTGGGCGGAGTGTAGGCCAGGGGGTTGGCGGTGCCGTGTCATGGAGGCTCAGTCTCGGAGCAGCCATTGAAGGGGAAGGAACTGCGGGTGCGCGCGTGTCTCTGTGTGTGAATGTGTGTGCGTGCCCGTGTGTGCGCGCGCGGGTGTGTGGACTAGAAGGTGGGGGCAGCCGAGTTCGTCCCAAGTCGTCGGACTCCATTTGCTATTCTTTTCTTTCTCCCCCACACCCGGGTGGTAGTGGGTGTCCGTCTTTGCGTCTCTTTTCATTCATCTCCAGACCTTTAGAGGTTTTTTAGGGTTGGGGGCAGTGGGGCGGGCGCGCGAGGGGAAAGGAGGAGGACATGGAGATGAAGAAGAAGATTAACCTGGAGTTGAAGAACAGAGCCCCGGAGGAGGTGAGATGACTCAGCCCCCACCTCCCCCTCCCGCCCTGTGTCGTGAGGGGTGGGCTTCGGGGGTCCGGGTGGCTGCGCGGGGCGGGCTGGGAAACGCGCCCCCACTCGGGGTGGGGGCGGGGTGTTTATTTTAAGTTTTAAATCACCAGGCTCTTGTGCTTAAAATGGCGAAGGGCTTAAGTTTCTAGGGGCATTTTCGTGAGCGCGCGGGGGCTCAGCCCCTTGGCGTCCCCGCAGTCTGGCGGCCCCGGCCTCGCGGGGGCGGGCGGCGTGGGCGCGACCCTCGGGCCTTCGCCACCTGCGAAGTTGGTGGAACTTTCCCGCGGTGCCGCCACTCGGCCGGCCGCGGCCACGGGAGTGGGTCTCGGGCCGATCTGCACCCCGTTCTCCCTCCAGCGGTGACCACTCGCGGGCGGCAGGATTCCGGGACCCGACGGCGCCGGCCGCGATCCTCGTGGCGCGCGGACCTCTACGCAAGCCCGTGGCTCGTGCGAGCCGCGCAGTGCTACGTGCGGCCATCGGGAGGGAGCCCCGAGTGGGGGCCCCGGGTGGCGTCGCCGCCGAGCCCCCGGCCGTCGGATTCTCTTGCGCTTCCTTCCCGCCAGGTTCACGGGCCTGGAGCTTGGGCCGCGACGGGCGGGGACGGCGCCCGGGGCTCGCTGGTTCCCGGCCGCGTGAAGTCGAGGGACAAGGGATCCGCGCTACGGTGGTCCCATGACGCCCGAGCAAAGGCGCCGGTCTGCCCGGCCTTCGCGGTTATCTGGCCGAGCCACCCGTGCCGGAGCCCCGTTCTTTTCGGTGGCCGGTTTGCGGGTTGCTCCGACTTTAGCCGAGAGCGAGGTGGAGGAAACATTGTTGCTGTAAGGCTTATCTCTGGGGGAATAGAAGTTTTTTACAGCTTATTAGAAGATTCTAGAATAACTCAAAGTTGAAATGCTGTCATCAGCGGGACGTAGTGATTAATATCTGTAATTCTGTATATCATCTGTAATTCCCAGCCCTTGGAGGCCGAGGTACGAGGATGGCTGCAAGTGGGACTCTGTCAGACAAGGCAAAACAAGTATTTTCTCAGAAGCTTTAGGGTACAAAAATGGGCCTTTCCCCCACGCTTTCACCTCCCAATTGGGAGGATTGCTGCACAATGCTGTGGTGTAGTAATGGGTTTATATAGATAACTTTATTTTCATTTACGTTTTTGGCTTTTTAAGACAGGGCTTCTCCATGTAGCTCTGGCTGTCCTGAAACTTGTTCTGTAGACCAGGCTGGCCTCTAATTTAGAAATACACCTGCCTCTGCCTCTTAAGTGCTGGGATTAACCACCGCCCACTGCGTAGACAGTTTATATAAAGTGTCCTGTTTGTTTACTTTCTCCTTGGGAAAACTTGTAAACTGGGTTGCATTGTTTTTGAATCCAGACTAGCAAATAGGAGCCTCAAGGCAGTGAACAGCTTATTCTGGTGAAAGAACTGGGTTCTGAGCCAGATCTACAAACTGCCTTGCTGAGCTTTTAATCCCGGCATGTAATCCTGGCATTTGGGAGGCAGAGGCAGATGGGTCTCTTGAGTTTGAGGCTTACTGGATCTACAAAGCAAGTTCCTAGCCAGCCAGGACTAAATAGTGAGACACTATCTCAAAAACAAACGAACTGGGTGGTGGTTGTGCGGCTCTTTGGTTCCAGCACTCACCATTAATCCCAGAGCTCAGAGGCACAGGCAGGCAGATCTTTGAGTTCAAGGCCAGCCTGGTCTATGAGTTCCTCGGGCAGCCAGGGCTACACACACACACACACACACACACACACACACACACACACAAAGACTTAAGAGTCAGGACACCTCACCATACATTAATGGTGTGACCTAATTAATGCAAATCGTTTTTTATGTACCTTTGCTTCCTGGCCTTGAAACCAAAATAAGATTGATAGATAGAAAGATGATCGATAGATAGATAGATAATAGATAGAGATGTCAAAGTTCCACTCACACTGGCATTTGCTGTTCTGATTTAAGTAAAGACTTACTGGTGACAGAGAATGGGGTCTGGGATTAGATCTAGTCAGGCGCATCATTGGTTTGGGTACTGTATCTCAGATCTGGGGCTGGAGTGGCGGGCACTTGTTCTTGCCCGCGCTCACATGGTGGCTCACAACTGTTGTGGCGTCAGATTCCTCCTCTGCCTTCGGAAGGCACCGGATACACATGTGGTACACATGCCCATGAAAAACACCTGTGTACATCAGATGGGAACAAATAAATGAGCTGGCCGCTCTTCCTACAACTCAGATCTAATGAGAAATCCAGTTCTGGGCTGGAGAGATGCCTCTCAGGGATTAAGAGAACTGGCTGGTATTTGGGGGACCAGGTTTGAATTCCCAGAACCCACACGGCGGCTGTCCCAGGGATCCAGGGGCTGTTTTCTGGCTTCTGTGGGTACTGCATGCCTAGGGTGTACAGATAGATATCCATGCAGGCAAAAGCAACGTGTACATAGAACAGAACAAAACAAACTAAAAAAGGAAACCCAGCCCCTCCCTCCCAGGAATGGGAGCGTCCATAGAACTGCTTGAGCATCAAAGGGAGAAAGGACATTTTGTCGAGAAAATTGTTCTGTGTGATATCATTTGTCTTCAGTTGACACTCCAAAGGTGGGCTGTTACAGGTGTCTGTCTGACATTACTTCCTAAAGGGTAACAAAGTTGGAATTCCACTGACATCTGTAGCTAAATATACAGAGGCTTAACCTGAAAGTGTTAGACACTTCCTGCCGTAGCTCAGGAGTCCCCTCTTTGTGGAGGTGCAGGTCAGGGTGGTGAGGCTCTTGCTAACACACATTTCATCAGGCCCTTCTTCAGTTGGTTTTCCGTCCCAGTGATTCGAAGCAGGCACTGCACTTGTTCAGCTGTGAAGGACTGCCTACAGTGATAACTAAATCATACATTTGTTATATATACAGCGTGTGTGCCCACACACCAGAAGGGGGCATCGGATCTCCTTACAGATGGTTGAGAGCCACCATGTGGTTGCTGGGAATTGAACTCAGGACCTATGGAAAAGCAGTCAGTGCTCTTAACCTCTGAGCCATCTCTCCAGTCCCATAAATTGAACATGCTAATTACATAGTGTTTCCTACTTGGTACTTTTCATGTATGCATATAGTGTGCTGTAATCACGGTCATTCCTTACCTTTTTTTTTTTTTAAGTGACTCAGTGAGTTGCGTTCGGGTTGCTTACAGGAACATGGGTGAGGAGAAGATGATATGTAAGGATTGATTGCTGTGTTCCCAGGCTGGTTATGGACTCCATGGCTCAAGTGGCCCTTCCTCCTTCTCTCCTAAGTAGCTGAGACTCCAGCCTCATGCAGTGCACCCAGTGTAGGGGCTGGTGTGTCGGTTTGGTGGTGTTTGTTTTAAACAGGGTCTTTCTCTGTTCTGTAGCTTTGGTTGTTATGGAACTCACTATGTAGACCGGGTTGGCTAGATCCGCCTGACTCGGCTCCGGAGTGCTGGGACTAAGATTTTAATATTCATGTGTTTAGAGTGCTCAGACACAGGTCTGTTGCTGTGCAAACTAATTATCAATCTGTTTCCTCTAACAGGTGACAGAGTTAGTCCTTGATAATTGCTTGTGTGTCAATGGGGAGATCGAAGGCCTCAATGACACCTTTAAAGAACTGGAGTTTCTTAGTATGGCCAACGTGGAATTGAGTTCCTTGGCCCGGCTTCCCAGCTTGAATAAACTTCGAAAGGTGAGTTGGGAGTAGTAGTTCGAGGACACCATGGTTTTTATGCTGGGGCGTATATCAAGGTCTCGCTCAAGCAAAATGACTATTTTACCTGCAATAAGAAATCTTTAAGTTTCTAGGGATAAGAAAAGGGAAGGAGCCTGGAGACATGACCTGGGTTCAGTTCCCAGCACACAATTCCCAGTCACAGAGAGCTGTGACTCCAGTTCCAAGGCTTCCAGCACCATCACACACATGCAGGCAAAAACCACAGTGGAGCTGCTGCACAGGGTTCTGATCTCTGCGGGTAGACGGGAACTGATGAGGGCAGAGAGAGTGATAGGGCCTCTTCAAACTGATGTGCGCTTAAAGGTCCTCAGGCTGCGTCCTTCTTTGTTTTCTCTCCGTGTGGAATATGTAGTTGGAACTCAGCGACAATATAATATCTGGAGGCTTGGAAGTCCTGGCAGAGAAATGTCCAAATCTTACCTACCTCAATCTGAGCGGAAACAAAATCAAAGATCTCAGTACAGTAGAAGCTCTGGTAAGTGAAATAATTGTCTCTGGACTTGATTTTGGGATTAATTTTAGATTGATTTATCTGAGGTTTGTTCATACTCTATTTTATTGATCTCTGTTTAGGTCTGGAGTTTTCTGAGATACGTCTTAACAGATAGTTATTCTTTTTCTTTTTCTTTGTTTTTCGAGAGGGTTTCCCTGTGTAACAGCCCTAGCCCAGGCTGACCTCGAATTCACAGTGATCCACCTGCCTTCTGAATTAAGATGGCTCTCAGCACTGAGGCACAGGAAGGGTGACCCCGAGTTGGAGCCTGGGCTGCAGGTGCAGAGTTAAACTCATTCTTAAAAACAAAGGCCTCAAGCTAGGCAGTGGTGGCGCACTAGTACTTGGGAGGCAGAGGCAGACTGACCTCTCTTGAGTTCAAGGCCAGCCTGGTCTACAGGGCGAGTTCCAGGACAGGTTCTAAAGCTACACAGAGAAACCCTGTCACGAGATCCGCCTGGCTGTCCTTAGGTTTTTCAGAGTGTTGGGCTTGATGTGGTGGTATCTGCCTGGATCCCAGTCTTGGGAGGCTAAAGGGATTGAGAGCGCAGGGTCAGCTTAGGCTGCGGAGTGAGACCTGTCTTTAACAAAATAAGATGGTGTGAGGTTAAACTATTGGAAAGGAGCGTGGGTGCTGGTTAAGGTGACCATGTGATCGTGCCACCTGTTGCTCTTTGGAGAGGCGTGGTCTTCGTAGACCCAGTTGGCCTTCAGCTCCTATCTGATCTCCTACCGGGCTGGGATGAGGCATGCTGCTGCCTCTTTGTGCACAGATTCTGTCAGCAAAAATGCCTTATAGATGCTGAAGAAACCAAGCTGTAAGAAAAGACGCTGGAGGTGTAGTGGTGACAGACCACAAGAGCTGGCTGTTCTGGTAGAATGACCCTTACAGAGCATTAAAAATGCAAAAAACATTCTTTAACTTCGTGTGTGTTTTTCAGATCTTTCATTAAAATTGAAGAACATAGTGTTTAAAATCTTGATTGTAACCTTTAACTTTACTTTTTCAGCAAAATCTTAAGAATTTGAAAAGTCTCGACTTGTTTAACTGTGAGATCACGAACCTGGAGGACTACCGAGAAAGCATTTTCGAGCTGCTGCAGCAGATCACCTACTTAGATGGATTTGACCAGGAGGACAACGAGGCCCCCGACTCGGAAGAGGAGGACGAGGAGGGTAATGGTTTTTTCTTTTTGAGACCTAACTCCTGCTGTTCTGGAACTCACTGTGTTGATCAGATTGGCCTTAAACTCAGAGATCCACCTGCATCTGCCTCTTAGTGCTGGGATTAAAGGTGTGCGCCACCTTGCTTGGCAACAAGCAAGCTTTGAAGTGGCTACAAAGTAAAACCAACTTCAGTGCCATATAGTGTATGAAAATCTATCTCAGTAATTACCTGGGTTAAGGAAGATGCTTATCTTTTGTGATGCTGGGGGTGGAATCACATGACAGGTACACGCTGGACCGTGTCCCCAGTCCTAGAAAAGGTACTTCTTAAGGTGATTAGTAACAGTGCTATGAAACAGAAGGTTTGGGGAGGTTTGTTTGTTTGTTTTGTTTTCAGACAGGGTTTCTCTGTGTTGTCCTGGAACTCACTGTATAGACCAGGCTGGCCTTGAACTCAGAGATCCACTTACCTCTGCCTCCTGAGTACTGGGACTAAAGGCGTGCGCCACCATTGCCTGGCCAGAATGTGTTTCTTTAAAAAAGGAGTGGGAACACCTTGAAATCCTCTCCCCATTGGTTGGTGGTGTTGAGATAATTGGGCAGGGTGAGGAGGGCCTGCATGCCAGGCAGAAGCATTTGACCAGCCATCTGTTTATCTTTCCAAATGTCTCTTAAAGATGGAGATGAAGATGAGGAAGATGAGGAGGAAGATGAAGCTGGTCCACCTGAAGGATATGAAGAGGAGGAGGAAGAGGAGGATGAAGATGAGGATGAAGCAGGTTCAGAAGCGGGAGAGGGAGAAGAGGAGGTGGGCCTCTCATACTTAATGAAAGAAGAAATTCAGGTGATTGGAAACTTGGTGTTTGCACTGATGATGGTTTGGGGACAGGCAGAGGGTTGAAGGGTGAGTCGTGAGTTGGTTCCTAACCTGTGGGTAAGGTCTGTCCATCTTCTCTCTCAGCTTCCTGCTGGGTGCTCCTATAGTGTATGACAACCATGGACACTTGTTAGTTTTGATTTTGCTTTTTAGCTCAAGGACAGTTTTATTAAAAATTCCTAGAGTAGGAAAGCAGTAAGTCTCAGCAGCTGCCAGAGGATAGTGGACGGGAGAAGAAAACCAAACTAAACCACCATGGTGTAAAAACTGGTGCAGAGGTCAGACACATGTTGGACAAGCAGTCACGTGGCAGGAAAGGGGTCTTAAGAGAAGGAGTATGGAGCCGGGCGGTGGTGGCGCACGCCTTTAATCCCAGCACTCGGGAGGCAGAGACAGGCGGATCTCTGTGAGTTCGAGGCCAGCCTGGACTACAAGAGCTAGTTCCAGGACAGGAACCAAAAAAGCTACGGAGAAACCCTGTCTCGAAAAATCCAAAAAAAAAAAAAAAGAGAAGGAGTATGGAAACCCAAATTATCAGAAAAAGCTTATTTGTTCTGACCAGCATCCAAAGAGAGAAAAGGAAAAGGCAAAGTTGCCTTTTTGACTTGGGCCTCAGAAAGGTGTAGACTTAGCTGAATCTCATAGTGGTTCTACAAGGACTCCATTGCTTGTTGCTGTTTATATCCCAGGTGTCCCTCAAATTGATTCTGCCCTCTGTGGTGTGGGGTGGTGGAAACATTTGTGAGTGTCTGAGTCTGTACCCTGATTGACACGTGACAGACACTTCAGAGACCCGAGATGTCTTCTTGCATAGCTTGGTACCCCTGCATCTTGCAGCTGCTTTTCTCCTCCTCATCCTTTTTTATTTTAAAGACCGGGTTTCTGTGTGTGTCCCTGGCTGTCCTGGAACTTGCTGTGTAGACCAGGCTGGCCTCAGTGACATCTCAGTGCCCCTTTATATTATGCGTATATGGCCATTACTTGCCCTCTTGAGTGCTATAATGTCCCTGTTGCCACCAAAGCATGCTTCATTAGCTGTAGGGTTTTTTTTTTTAATGTAATGATGGTTATGTAGACAATATCTGGTGAATGGTTCTTATTTTTTTCCTGATACTGTTTTTAAATTTGAAATGAATGTACAAAAACGAGGCCTTAAACTTGTTTGGCGCTTTGTAAGTCAGAAACTACACAGACATGAAGAACAAAACTTGTTTAAGCATCTTAATTTATAGGGGAGCCTTTGTAGTTTCCTCCAGCGGACAGATAGCTTGGCTGTTTCTCATGTCTGTTTGGTAAAATAAGAGTCTCCTGGTTTCGTTTTATTTGCATTTGGCCTTGTATGTTCTCTGTCAGTAATAGATATACTCTTAAGTATAAGTAGGAAGTACTTTAAAAGTTACATTTTGAGCTGGATGGTGGTGGCGCATGGCTTTAATCCCAGCACTGGGGAGTCAGAGGCAGGCAAATCTCTGAGTTCGAGGCCAGCCTGGTCTACAGAGCTAGTTCCAAGACAGCCAAAGATACACAACGATGTTTCGAAAGACCCCCCCCCCAAAGTACATTTTGTAGTGTGTGTGTGTGTGTGTGGGGGGTGTGTATTGTTTTTATTCTGCACCCCAGGCTGCCATGCAGTCCCCTTACCTCCTCCTCCGGGGTCACACAGACATTCACTCCTGCCTTAAAAGTTACTTTCAGCCAGCTGTGGGATGACTACACTGAATGTTGGGGAATGTTAACTCAAAATGATATAGCCAAACATAGATTAGAAATTTTGGAAATATACATAGCATTAAGTTAGTGCAAGGCCAGGAACATTTTCATTCTGGATGGGATTGTTTAGGGGCTCAAAAATGAAGTTTTGGCTTAGCTAGGTGTGGGGTAGCTCATGAGCATCACTCTGGGAGGGTGAGGCAGCAGGGCTGCAGGAGTTTAATGATATCGTAGGCTTACCTAGTGTGCCCCAGGATAGCCTAGGCTACCGAGGAACCTTGTCTCAGAACAAACGAGCCCACAAACCAGAGTTCTTGTTTTTAGGAGCTCAGTGTGGGAGAGCACCAGAGGCCATTGGTGCTCAAAATAAATGAGAAGGGAATGGTGTGTTTGATTATGCATTGTGTTTTTTCCTTTAAAACGTATTATTATTTATGTATGAGTATTTTGTGTGCATGTATGTCTGTGTGAATGGTAACCATAGAGGCCAAAGAGGGCCTAGGATCCCTTGGAGCTGGATACAGATATTTGTGAGCCACGATGTAAGTGCTAGGAGCAGCACCCAGGTCCTCTTTCCAGGTGGTTATTTTTGCCTTTTAAGATGGGGTCTTACTATGTAACTTAGACTGTCTTTGAACTACTGGTCATCCTGCTAAGCTTCGCAAGGGCTGGGATTATAGGCCAACACCTGGCACATTCCATTACACCTTTATTTATTTATGTTAATTTGTTTTTGAGACAGGGTTTCTCTGCATTGTCCTGGAACTCAGGGATGCTCCTGTCTCTGCCTCCCGAGTCCTGGCCTGACCATGACTGGGTTTATGTGGTCCCGGGGATCTAACCAAAGGCTTCTTGCATGCTAGGCAAACATCCTCCCGATCAAGTTACAATCCCGAGACCCCTGGTTAGCTGTTTTTTATTTGAGCCTTGTATTTCTTCCCATTTTGGCTGTTCTTCAGAGGAAAGGGATTAATATGTATCAAGGACTTTTTGTCCTTTAGGAATATTGGGATGTACGTCATACTGTTCATATGTGAGTCAGGAAGCAGTTCCCACTAACAAGGCAAAGGTCATCACAGCAGTGAGTGACTTTCTGCTGAATGCTGAAGCTTTATTGAGACATCAAAGGATGACTTTTAAAATGCCTTAAAACTTCAGTCCGAAAAAACAAAAGCAAAAAACAAAACAGCAACAACAACAAAACATCAGACCAAGTAAATTTTGTTTAAACAGAATTCAGATAGTGCTTTATGTCTGTGCTTCCTGAAGCATCAATGTGGCTAGTCTGTCAAGTGTTTTTTTTTTTAATTACAAATGGCTATTATTTTTGCATCTTTAAGATGTTTAAAATGCCTCTACTTCCTTTCCTCTTTCCCTTTTCTGTCCCTATTTTTCCTTACCTTTCCTCTCCCTCCCCTCCCTTTTCTTGTCCCCTCTACCCCCTCCCACTTGCTTTTTTTTCTCTTTTTCTCCTGCTCTTCCTTTCCCTTTCTGTCCCTCTCCTTTCTCTTTCTGTCCCTCTCCTTTCCCTTTCTGTCCCTCTCCTCCATACTTCCTTCCCCTTTTCATTTCCTTTAGTTTAAGAGAACAGAGTCCCTGGTTTTTCTTAAGGTCCACTTCGTGGAGTTTCCTGCCCCACTGTCCCTTTGGTCCTGTAGGGGACTGGGTCCCTGGAGGTGATGCTGTGCACTGTTACTCGGGAAATGAACCGAGGAGAAGATGTGCAGGCTCATTCTCTGTTGTGTTGCAAGGCGTAAATCAGTCTAGGGTGCAGGACCCTGTCTCACTGCCTTTCTGTCTTCATTTTTGTTTGTTTGACTTTTTAAGACAGGGTTTCTCTGTGTAACAGCCCTGACTGTCCTGGAACTCTCCCTGTAGACCAAGCTGGCCTCAGACTCAGAGTTCCTTCTGCTTCTGCTGGAGTTAAATGTGTGTGCCTTGACTATTGATTTGTTTTTTAAAGATTTTTTTTTCCTTTTATGTATTATGTACAGTGTTCTGCCTGCTTGTCTGCCTGCAGGCCAGAAGAGGACGCCAGAGCTCATTACAGATGGCTGTGAGCCACCATGTGGTTGCTGGGAATTGAACTCAGGACCTCTGGAAAAGCAGCCAGTGCTCTTAACTTTAAGCCATCTCTTCAGCCCCCCCCCCTTTTTTTTAAAGTGTGTGTGTGTGTGTGTGTTTTGTATGCACGTTTCTGTTTTTGTGAATGTTCACAGGTGTGTGGGCAATGACATGCATGCAGAGGTCAAAGGACAACTTTTGTTATCCATCCTTAGCTTCCGTCTGAGATAGTCTCTGCTTACTGTGTTTGCCATGCTTGCTGACCCACACACTTGGGGGGTTCTCTCTGCCATCTTTTATCTCTCCAGTAGGAAAACCAGGACTGCAGATGGACACTACTGCAACCAGCTTTATGTGGGTCTGGGAATCTAATCTCTACTCCAGGTCGGGTTTGTTTGTTTTTTGAGGTAGGGTTTCTCTCTGTAACCCTGGGTGTCCTAGAATTCTTTAGGTAGACTGGACTGTCCTTGAACTCACCTCTGAGGTGTCTTTGAACTCTAAGGTGAGTTCAAGGCCTACCTCTGCCTCCCCTGACCCGCTGGGATTAAAGACCTGCCACTGTGCCCAGCCTTCAAGCACTGTTAACTACTAAACATTCACTGCTTACATTTTGTGCTGAACTTGGAACTTAGTAAGACTGGCTGGCTAGCAGGCCCGGGATCTGACTGCTTATGTTTCCCCTGCGTCACGAGTGTAGGCATTCACCACTATGTCACCTTTTATGTGGCACTTGGCAATCTGAGCTCACTCAGGTCTTCATAGTGTACGGGCATCTCCCCAGCCCGTCCCTCAAATGGGTTTGAGATAGTCTAGCTCTGTAGCCCAGGCTGGCCTTGAACTTACAGTCATCCCATCCCACCTATAGAGCTGCATGTATGCACCACCACACATGGCTCTGTTGTAGATAATAAAATATATTGTATATAATATATATACCTGAAGAGCAGTAAGCTTGTGTAGTCGTAAGATGGAGAGAGGCTTGGCTGGTTGTTTTTTAGATACTTAGTACCAAATCTGTCTGATGCTTAGATATTTGTAGCATAGCTAAGATCACAACAGTAAGTGCAAAAGGCTCTGAGCAGTCAAAATATAAGTAATGAAAGTCTTCCGAGCCTGTTTGTGTCGGAGAGTATTCATTTCGTGTTGGAATTAGACGTTGTGTCCTGCGTGTTCATGTCTGATGCTCTGTTCTGAGTCTGTGGCAGCATAAAATTACAAGAGTGACGGTAGAAGAGAGGGTGTAAAACTAGAAGAAGAGACCCAGTTGGAGGCTGGAATTATTTTAAAAAGTAGAGAACGGGCCAGTGATGGCTTCACTGGTAAAGGCACTTGCTGTGCAGGCCTGGGGGCCCGAGTTCAATCCCTGGAACCTACGGAGAGGTGGAAGGAGAGGACTGACTCCGAGTTGTCTGCTCATTTCCACACGTATTCTGTGGCACGTCCCCACACGGCATGTACAACAGTAGTATGTACACACAACAATAATATGTGTTTTAGAAAGGAGAAAACCATCTTACATATATTAAGAAGTCTGAGGAAATTAGCATATACTAATAATTAGAATGTTCATGGTCAAACAGTCTTTTATTAAAGAAAATTGGGCTGGAGAGATAGCTCCGTGGTTAAAAGCACTGGCTGTTCTTCCAGAGGACCTGAGTTCAGTTCCCAGGAACCACATGGTGGCTCATAACTGTCTATAACTCCAGTTCCAGGGGATCTGACACCTTCACACCAATGCACATAAAATAAAGTTAAATAAAATTTTAAAAAGATCAAGGGGATGGGCAGATGACTCAGTTGGTAAAGTGGGTAACTTACAAATATAAGGACCTAAGTTCAATTTCAAGAATCCCTTTAAGAAAACAAACAAAAAACAGCTAGATAGTGATGGTACACAGAGAAACAGTAAACAGTCTTTCCTTCTTTTTTTTTTTTTTTGACAGGGTTTCTCTGGAACTTGCTCTTTTGGACCAGGCTGGCCTCGAACTCACAGAGATCCGCCTGCCTCCGCCTCCTGAGTGCTGGGATTAATGCGCTACCACTGCCTGGCTGAAACAGTGTTTCTAAAGCCAAAACAAAACTGCATGGTGGCAGCCTAGGAGAAGTGGAGACAGGTGAATCTCTGGGCCAGTACAGGCCACGTGGCAGGTTTAGGCCGATGAGGGGCCCCATATCAAAAAAGAGTAGATTATAAGTGTAAGGAACAATACCAGGGCTATCCTCTGGCCTCATAATGCCTAAGTGCATACATATGAACCCACATATATGTGATCATGTACATGCAAGCATGAATGCATAACACAGGATGATTGTGATGGTCATGTTTTTAACCATGTCAGGCTGACCTGGAACTTTCTCTGCCTGTCTCTGCCTCAAGGCATGCACCATTGTGTCTGGTGTTATGCTGTGTCTTTATTATACTTGTAGTTTGACTGAAGGTCCAGGCGAGATCACCTGGCATTTTCTATATTTCATTGATGCTCAAAATTTCAGAGTTTTGAAACATTTTGGATTTCAGATTTTTGGTTCATTTTGCTTTTATTAATTGGAAAACAGATCTAGCGAAATACATTTATTTACTTAACGTATGATGGTATTTGGTGTCGGGGTTCATATCATCTGTGGCTCAATCTGTAAAGTAGAGTACCTTGTTTTTAAAATAGTCAAGACCTGCTTCTGTTATGGTGGGCAGATGTGGCTGTTTAAAAGTAAGCTGGGGGGCTGGAGAGATGGCTCAGAGGTTAAGACCACTGGCTTCACTTCCAAAGGTCCTGAGTTCAATTCCCAGCAACCATACGGTGGCTCACAACCATCTGTAATGAAATATGCTGCCCTCTTCTGGCCTGCAGGGACATTTGCAGGCAGACCACTATATACTTAATAAATAAATAAATCTTAAAAAAAGAAAGTTAAAAGTAAGCTGGACAGTGATGAGTGCTTATAATCCCCATACTCGAGAGGCAGAGCCAGTACTGGAACGTAACCACGCGTCAAGATAGAGGTTAGCCTGGGCTTCATCCTGAGACCCTGTCTCAAGCAAACAGGCAGTTTAAATCACACAAAACTCAGGTGCATCTCCCACATTGTGCTGTCACAGTTTGAGCGCTCACCAGCGCGTGTGTGGTGGTGCACAGCACAACACAGAGGACATTTGTGTTGTTGGAGAAAGTTTCCTTAAACAGTGTTCGTCTAAAGCACAGCCTGTGTTTTTAAAAATGTAGTTGCTTGGGTCTGGAGAGATGGCTCAGAGGTTAAGAGCATTGCCTGCTCCTCCAACCATCTGTAATGAGGTCCGGTGCCCTCTCATGGCCTGCAGGCATACACACAGACAGAATTGTATACATAATAAATAAATATTTAAAAAAATGTAGACGCTTAGTTAGGTTCAAAAGCAAAACTGACAGAAATTGTCCTTTCTAGAACACAGTGGACTATAATATTTTTAATTTTTTTTTTTTTGGTTTTTCGAGACAGGGTTTCTCTGTGGCTTTGGAGCCTGTCCTGGAACTAGCTCTGTAGACCAGGCTGGTCTCGAACTCACAGAGATCCGCCTGCCTCTGCCTCCTGAGTGCTGGGATTAAAGGCGTGCGCCACCATTGCCCGGCCTATAATTTTTTTTAAATATTTTTTTATTTATTATGTATACAATACTCTGTCTGCATGTATGCCTGCAGGACAGAAGAAGAAGTCACCAGAATTCATTACAGATGGTTGTGAGCCACCATGTGGTTGCTGGGAATTGAACTCAGGACCTCTGGAAGAGCAGTCAGTGCTCGTAATCTCTGAGCCATCTCTCCAGCCCCATACATGGAACAAGATTTATTCATACGTGCTCCAGCCCCTGGACTATAATTTCTTTGCTCCAGTTGGGATTTGTTAAACAGTAAATGCCCAAGTCATGGTTCATTTCTTCTCACACTGAATATTTGAATTTGAAGGATGAAGAAGATGATGATGATTATGTTGATGAAGGGGAAGAAGAGGAAGAAGAGGGTAAGTTGCATCAGTCTTAAGCAATTCTGAATCTAAAGATAACACATGGGATGGATTATTGAGGACTGAGTCTTATGGGGATCTCTCCTGGTCCCTTTGGTTTTGTTGTTTATCATAAGGTGCCTTGAGAAGTAGAGAAGTGTTTGGAAAGAACTTTAATTCCAGTAAAACAAAACAAAAAAGCCAGCTTGTTACTTGTACTTAATAAACGGAAATGAAAGCCAGACACAGTGTGTCCCAGCACTTGGGAAGCAGAGGCAGGTGGATCTCAGTGTGAGGACAACCAGGACAGCCAAGGATACACAGAGAAACAAAAACAAAAGCTTTGTTCACTTTATTGCACTCTGGAATCTCATTTTGTAGAGCCTGGTACCTCAGTTCAGAGAGGAATGGCTGACCCCGGATGTCCCTTTAGTTTCGTCTTTATCTCGCCCTTCACACTGGTGTTTGCATAGAGTCACACTGATGTCAAGCACTTAGAGTCTTCACCTGCCTTTGCCCATGAGGTTTGTCAGGTTCTCTCGAGTTCGCTTATACTCTGAAATTGGACGACATTTTAGAGTGAAACAATCGATAATTTTCTCTTGCCATTTTTTTTTTTCTGAGATTGAAAGCTTTGTAACTTAACAAAAATTCCTTTGCTGAAATGATCCTATATTCTTCCGTTTTAGAAGAAGAGGGTGTGCGGGGAGAGAAAAGGAAGCGAGATGCTGAGGATGACGGAGAGGAAGACGATGACTAGCCCCTCCAGGATGAGGTTGCTCCTGGTGTGCAGTAGAGCAGCCATGTCTTGTTTCTTCATGTATGATAGCTGTCCCTAGAGGTGATGTGCAGCTTTTATAGGAAAGTGTGGTTTTACTATTTGGCCTTACCATTCCGACTGAGATCTGCTTGTCTGTTAATCATAATGTATGTAGAAAAAAATTTTCATTCATCTTCCCGTTGTGAAATTCTTTAGCACTGTATTTAGATTCTGGATTTTTATAATTCATGCTTAATGTATTAGACATTTTAGCTCATAATTAAAACATGGTTGCTTTTACACAGGCCTAGTCTGGTGCATTTCATTCATAGTGTTTTAAAGTTATTTATAAATTAACAATACACTCAGCTGTAATATGAAATGGCAAGTCTTTTGAGTGATAAAGCTGTTTTTTTTTTTTTTTTTAAGAGATGATCCAGAAATCAATAGCTTGAAGGCAGTTTTGGGGGCTGGGTGGTATGTGAGAGCTTTCCTGTCATGGTTTGGGAAGTAGACGCAGAGTGAGAGGGTTCTCTTCAGCACCAAGGCCGCGGATACAGTTAAGGCTGCTAGGGAGACTCGCAGGGGAGCCCTGCTGTGCGCTGTCTCCAGCTGCTGTCTACCCTTACCCTCCATTGCTTCATTCCTCTCCATAGCCAAAAGAGAGCTGGCAGAGTTGTGGACACCCGGGAAAGTGTCTGGGTTTCAGACACGTGGCGTGGAAGAGATTCTGTATCAGTTGAGCAGTGTTGAGCGCTAGGCGTGTGAGGGAGACAGGCTTTGCTTACTGTCAAACACGCGAGCCCTGCCAGGCTAAAGCGTTCTCCTTTCTCAGAGGCTAGACCCATCACCTGCTGATAACTAATAATGCCTTCAAGTCTAATTACTAAGTTGTTTTCCTGGCTGATTCGGATACCAACGCTGTGAAGTATTTATTATATTTCTGAGTAGAACCTTTAATTATTCTTCCTATAGTTTCAAAGTGTGATCAAATACAGCATTTGATTGGAATATAATGGCAGTTGGAGGACTGTATGAAAATCAGTATTGAAGTTGGGCTTTATTTCAAGTGGTTGCCTATTAACAATAGAACATTGGAGTAAGCGTATGTGCCCCTCCATGGCCACTACGTAAACAGAGTCGACAGCTCCCTTTTCTTGTCCCAGAGGCCCCACGTTCAAGGCAATTTGTTCTTAACTCTTGGCCACTGATTTTTCTTTTCCTTTTGTATATCTTTTTTTTTTTAAAGTTACTATCAGCAAATTAATTGAAATTCTTTGCCTCTACTGGGACACAGAAATTGTTCATAATAGTGGACTGTTGCTTTTTAAATTTAAGATGTTTGACACGATACTTTAAAATAACAAGTATAAAAATATTTGCAGAGAAGCTAACAAAGTTGCATATCTGAAATAAACATGTTCTAGATTCCGTGCCGGTACTGGGCTCTCCAAGGACTAACATTTTCCTCATTTCAGTCACAGGAACGCCTGCTTCTAGTCCCTAAGGACTCTCTCGGCACATGGTGCCAGGTTCAAAATAAATGCTTATTTTTAAAAAGGAAATCTATATATTGACTTTTTTGAAATCAATCATCTATTGTGCAATCAAAATTAGAGTTCTTGGGTTTAAAACAATGACTAGGGCCTCCAAATAACCATTAAGACTTACTTAGCTTTGTGGGTGGTGTTTTCATGCAAATGAGCAAGGGTGGGCTCTGTTGTCTAGTTCTGAGTTCGGTTTTAAGGCTCTGTACCGCCTGTGTACACGGTATGTTAGTCCTTAGAGACTGGAATTACTGCTTTTGTGCAACTGTATTTTGAATAAAGCCACCTCAGTGTTAAACACAAGGACAGGCAAACTGATTGTGTGTTCTTTTTTTCTGACTGCTGTAATTTGAAACTGAATTGCTTTGAATAAATCGAAGAGTTGTTAATAATGATTAGCTTCAGTGTTTGATGTTCACGTTCCAGTAATACCATAAACTCTTTCAAAGTCTTTTTTTTTTTTTTTGGTTTTTCGAGACAGGGTTTCTCTGTGGCTTTGGTTCCTGAACTGGAACTAGCTCTTGTAGACCAGGCTGGCCTCGAACTCACAGAGATCCACCTGCCTTCTGAGTGCTGGAATTAAAGGCGTGCACCACCACTGCCCGGCTCTTTCAAAGTCTTTAAAAACAGAAGTGGCAGGAAGGTTACTCAGACTTAGTTGTGACAACAGGTACTAGGAAACTCATCTTCCCAAGGAGGGTAGTGGTGAGTCACACCTTTAATCCCAGCCCTTGGGAGGCAGAGGTAGCCAGTTTGAGACCAGCCTGTTGTCCAGAGTTCAAAGATAGCCAAGAATACACAGAGACACTCTTGTCGCATTAACTAAAACAAAAGCTCATCTTCCTCATTAATCTTTTCAGAATCAAAAAAGATCTGAATTGGCTCTAATTTACCTTTTGAGTTGCAGGTTGAGTTCAGAGTTTTTGAACTATGGCATGGACATGGGTTTTTCTAGAATGAGAGCCCAAGCATTTTCCCATAATATCTTAATTCTTACGTAGGTTTTTTTTTTTTAAATCCCTAGTTTTGGGTTTCCCCTAAGTAATCTTTTTTAATTTATTTATTATGTATACAATATTCTGTCTGTGTGTATGTCTGCAGGCCAGAAGAGGGCACCAGACCCCATTACAGATGGTTGTGAGTCACCACGTGGTTGCTGGGAATTGAACTCAGGACCTTTGGGAGAGCAGGCAATGCTCTTAACCTCTGAGCCATCTCGCCAGCCCTCCCCTAAGTAATCTTTTAATTTGTTTTGTTTGTGGATGATTCTGAAATGTATTTTTGTCCAGTTAGATGTAGTGCTAAGTAATGATTCCATGCTTATGGTTATATATTGAGAAAATTTTAATGATTTAATTCTGCTTCTGGAGAGATAGAAAATACTGGAGTGTTTTTAACTACAAGTAACTGAAATTTGTGGTTTTGTCTTTTTTTTTTTTGAGGGGAGGGGATAGTGAGTGTCACTTTAAGTAGAGCAGACTAACCTTGAACTCAGATTTGTCTGCCTCTGCCTCTGCCTCCCAAATTCTCAGATAAATGCAACACCAGTATGGACACTGGCTTTGTCTTATGCTTTTGAGACACCAACAACTTGGTGTGTGCCTCCTGCCTGTAGTCCCAGCATTTAGGAGGTCAAGGGAGCTGAAGAATTGCCACAGTTCAAGGCCAGCCTGGGTTCCAGAGTGAGACTGTCTGAAAACAAACATTGCTTCCTTTAAGGAAAATAATAGAACCATAGAAGTTTTCGGTAAAATTATTAAGTAATAAATCAATTTGTTGTGATTCAAAACTTTCTATTTTGAGACAGGGTTTTTCTGTGTAACAGAGCCCTCTGTCCTGGAACTCTTAGTAGTCCAGGCTGGTTTTGAACTCAGAGATCCTCCTGCCTCTGTCTTCCTACTGTTGGGATTAAAGGCTTATACCATCATATCTACCTGAAAACACTGTTTTTCTTTTTTCTTTTCTTTTTTCTTTTTGTTTTTGAGACAGGGTTTCTCTGTAGCTTTGGAGCCTGTCCTGGAACTAGCTCTGTAGAACAGGCTGGCCTCGAACTCACAGAGATCCACCACCAAGACAGTTTTTCTTTAGATCAAGTTGGCCTCAAACTCAGAGATCTGCCTTGCTCTGCATCCCTAGTGTTGGAAAACAACAACAAAGTCTCACCAAAAAAAAAAAAAAAAAAAAAAGCTTGGTGGTGGCACAAGCCTTTAATCGCAGTGCTCAGGAGGCAGAGGTGGATGTCTGTGACCTCCAGGACAGCCAGGGCTACACAGTGAAACCATGTGTGTGTGTGTGTGTGGGGGGGGAGTTGGGGACGCTGTCTTGCTAAAAACATTCTTAAGTACTGTTTATTCCCTGCTTTGTTAATGAGAGGCTTTGAATTACATTTTTTTTAAAGATTTTATTTATTTATTATGTATACAACATTCTGCCTGCATGAAGAGGGCGCCAGATCTCATTACAGATGGTTGTGAGCCACCATGTGGTTGCTGGGAATTGAACTCAGGACCTCCGGAAGAGCAGCCAGTGCTCTTAACCACTGAGCCATTTCTCCAGCCCTTGAATTACATTTTTATCTACTTGCCGGAGACTTCTGTTTCTAGCGGTGGATTCAGCGATGCTCTGCAGCTCTCCCTCAACAGCATTCTAACTGCAGGTCTTTCCACAGTCCATCAGCCTGAGACCTGAGAGCCTGTGCCCTGTGGCTGGACAGCCACTTGAGTTTCTGTTCTGTCGACTAGCCTAACTTAACACAGATCACATCACGAAGTGGTAATTGCAAGGTGAGCTTTTATCTTGGAAGAATCTTTAAAACCACCAAGGTGCTGGTAAAATACTTACGTAGACTTAGGTTCTCACTATTGCTCTGGCTGGCCTAGTACTCACAGATCCACTTGTTTCTGTCTCCCACACTTCAGTAAGGTGTGTGCTTCCACGCCCAGCACTGGTAAAATACTTTAAAAAGATTTAGTGATTGATTTTTAATTTATGAGTATGTGTGTGAGCTGTCAGATCCCTTGGAACTAGTCTTACAGGCTATGTGAGCTGGTAACTGACCTAGTCTCTTTGCAAGAGAAGCATGTGCTCTTAACTGCTTAAGTACTTTTACTTTGTACAAGTCTTCCTTGGTAAGACCCTAAAGTAGATAACCCCAGGTAAGAAAGACAGGTATGTATTTCAATTAATTTCCATGAATATTTCCTTTTTTTTTTTTTTTTTTTTGGTGGAGTCATTTGGACTTGGCTAGAACTAGAAACATTGGCTGACATAGGCCGCCAAACAGGCTCTGGCATAAGGACCTGCTGTTCCGCCTTCGGTGTTGCTTGTTTTCTGATTACTGTATTAAATACTTACTGATTACTGTATTAAATACTTAGAGCAGCCATGATCTCAGTCCTCTGCATTGCCTGTGACTTTGGCCTGGGTAGTCTCCGCCCACATTCACAGCTCAGGGAGGCCATGGAGGGGGGGTGGGGGGGGTTGTCCACCCAGAGAGAAGGGCAAGCACATGGCCTTTTGACATCAATGTTCATCAACAAAGTTCACCCTTGAAAATATGAAATCGAGGTTTGTTTTTTTTTTTTTTTTTTTTTGTTTTTTTTCGAGACAGGGTATCTCGGTAGCTTTGGAGCCTGTTCTGGAACTAGCTGTTGTAGACCAGGCTGGCCTCGAACTCACAGAGATCCGCCTGCCTCTGCCTCCCGAGTGCTGGGATTAAAGGCGTGCCCCACCACCGTCCGGCAAGTTTTTTGTTATAAG